TAGATCACAACGAGCCTTGAAGTTAATTGCCTCTTTCAGTGCTGCCCCACTAGAAATGCTGCTGTCACTGCCAGGGTTTAAACGCTGGGTGCAGCAAGGATGAAAGAAAGGTGCAAGTGCACCAGTACACACCCTGGATCCGCCCCTGGCGGGGCGGGGGGCAAAGCAAACTCCACTCCTGTCCCAGACCCAGGCAAGCAAAGGAAAGAGCATCTCTCCTGGACTTCCCCCTCCATCACACCGTCACCGGAGACCCGGTGGCACCGGCCGTGCTCAGCGATGGAGGCTCAGCAGTGTTCAGTCCGGGGGCCGACAACCAGCAGCATCCCTGACACGTTGTCCAGGTCCGTCCGAGACGGTCCTGCCCGCTCCTCCCGCAGCCTCGGCGCTCTGCAGGAGTCAAGCCGGGGAGATGCGTGCTCCCTGCTGAATGACTCTGGCTGCCAAGTCCCTGGGGTAATCCTCTGGGGATTAGAGCTGCCTGGGGCCATTACCTCTCTGTTTGCATGTAAGCCGCAGCCCAGCTAGATCCCACGGGGAAAGAACGCCGTGTTTATTCTGCAGGCGTCTGAGGCCTGCCAGGTCCTCGTCAGCGGTCTCCTTCCTCGCCAGCATCCAGCGTGTTCTTTGGAAACTGGCAGGAATTGATCTAGAAAGCCGCGGGCTCTTCCACGCAGGGTTCGGGCTTGAACACGGACGCTGGCAGGGGACTGGTTCTTGCACCCGTCTGTGCCACGCTGCCGGGGCGCAGCCAGCCTCTTGGCTATTCTCGGACCAAAAGGAGGGGGAATCACAGACTCGAGGGTCACTTCAGGCGCCATTCGCTCAGCACCAGCCCCAGGCACCAGCCACATCCCACTCGAGTTGAAGCTGCGGCTTAGGGATAGGGCAACCATAGTCCCTATCCCTAACTAGTGTTGTCACCAGGACAAAAGCAGTCCAGCAGGACATTGGGAATAAACATTTAAAGCAGGAACGTCCCAGTGAAAACCAGGACCAGTGATCACCCTGCCACAGGGGCCACGGACCGGTGCTGGAGAATGCCTGAGTTAAGCCAAGCCCAGAGGCACAAAACCAGCCCTCCAGGCTCGTGCTTGTTCCTCACACAAGGTCATTAGCATGCCCCCCAACCCCAGGGGTTCAGAAGTGCTTCACTAGTTGCAAACCCAGGCTGTCGGCAATGTCACAGCGTGTCTCACCTTACAGTCGCAGCTCCAGCAGGGACAAGCGGTAGCTGAAGTCGTCTTTCTCTTTGCTTATTGGCACGGCGTCACGGTCCAAGCCGAAGCGCTGGCTGGCTGCGCGTGTCTCTGGACGGGTCGATGCAGGTGTCCAGGAAACACGACTTCTTGCACCAGGTGCAGATTCCTGACATGGGAGAAAGGAATTCGCGTGGACAAACTCAAGTGACTCATGAATGACATTAAAATGCAGTCGTGAATCGAGACATGATAGAGATTAGGTTGGTATAGATAGCATCTTCCCTGCAGCTTGCCTTCACTTTTGTAACCCTCTTTGCTTATCCGAGTGACGTCTTTCACCCACGTATTTACAATGCTCCGACTGTTGCATCCAACACGGTGCCCAGGAATGACTTTTGCATGACACACATCAGATGACATAGGGACACCCAGCAGAGTTGCACAGGATGTGATGTGTGCTGCATACAATGTACACAATACATTGTACTGCATACAATGTAATGACTTAAATCCAAGATGATTTCCCTCCATTTAACATGGGGAAGACCCTCATTTGGGATTTGAGTGCGTGTTTGTGGGGTGCGGGGGGGCAGCTGTTGCCGCTCCAGGTCCAGCTTCGGCCCCAACCTGAGCATGGAATCGGAGCTGCAGATGCTGCCCTGCCCCACCACAGCCTCTGCCCTATGCGTGGGTGGATCTAGGATGTCGAAAAGGGGGGTGCGGGTGGCAAGGCACGCCATCACATATTTTTCTCCCGTTAAACAGAAACTAGCAGCTTTATTAACATGCCGGGGGCCTGGGGCTGTGCGATTCAGTTTAAAATGGAAACAAAAACAAATATAACTTCCCTGGACTGAGTTTAGATTACAAAGAAGAGAGAGTCGTTAACACCTGCGGGATGAAGAGTCCAGGAGGAATCAAGCCAATGCTGATGAGCCATGACATTCATCGACTCCCTCGCTCCTGCCTGAATAGAAATGTTGCTGCCATGGCCAGGTAGCTGGTTTAAACTTTGGGTGGAGCAGGAATCACAGGGGTGTAAGTGCACCTGGATCCGCCCCTAGCTCCATGTCCCGCTACCCCTGCCTCCCCTCCACCCTCACTGCTGCTGTTTGCCCAAGAAGCTGCGGCGGTGGCATCAGCTCTGGCCCCGATCTGCCTGCAAAGCCAGGGCCGGGGCTACTGCCAGTGCAACTGCTGCTGTACGGCCGGGCACAGGGCGGGGGCTGGAGCCAGCATGTGCTCTGTGCCCTGGGCCAGAGCAGGGCTGGGGCCGGAGATGCAACTGGGGGTAAGCAGCAGAGGGAAAGGTGGGGGCTGCTTGACTCCACCACTGCCTGCCCCCCTGCCACTGCCTTTCCCCATTGCAGCACTGCAGGGGAATGGGCTCAAGCTGCAGCAAGGGAAGTTGAGGTTGGATATTAGGAAAAACTCTCACTAAGGGGATAGTAAAACACTGGAACGGGCTCCCCAGGGAGGTGGTGGACTCTCCATCCGTGGAGGTGTTGAAGACCCAGGTAGACAAAGCCTTGGCTGGGATGATGTTGTTGGGGCTGGTCCTGCTTGGAGTAGGGGGTTGGACTAGATGTGACCTGCTGGGGTCCCTTCCCACCCTCATTTTCTGAGTCTATACAGTTTAAGATGACCCTCAGAGTCTAAACATGGAAAATGACAAGTTTACAGATTTCCTGTGTGTAAAACGTAATTATTGGAGGGTCATCTTAAATGTATACAGGTAAATACGGGAGCTCCGGTGACAATACAAGTGCCAGGTAGCGAAGGGCAGGATTTGTAGCCAATCCCTTGCACAAAACCCAGCGCCCCCACGTGCAAGGGGCAGCACCCCACAAGCTTTCCCTAGACAGCCAAAGGTCCCAGCACTGAAGTCACCCGTGCCCATGCACAGGCCCATGCACTCATGCAGACGGTCTGTAAGCACACTGGAGTGCCGGCTGCCTTGCTCCTTTGGGAGCTCCTCGGTCAGTCCTCTGTGGACAAGCACGAGCCTTGCACGAAGCAAACAACCCAGCACACAAAGCTCTCGGCCCTAGCCCAGGTGGTAGGGCCCTTAGCACGCGGCCCCTTCCTGGGAGCAAGCTTACCTGAAGCCCGGTCCACCCCCCCGTCACAGCCTGCTCCCAGCTTTCTTCTCTGGGGTTTTAACTGCTGGCGGGATACTCCCCCACGAGCAGGGATCTTGGTTTTCTCCGATTTAAAAAAAAAATTTTTTCAGATTAAAAAAAGTAACCCCAAATCCACGTTTTTCCAAGCTCCTATGCTGACTGGGGCCCAAGGTATCTCAAATTGAGCAGGGCGGGGGGAGGCACCCAAGTGAATGGGGCTCAGCAGAGATGCAGCCGTGTGCACTGCCCCAACCAGCTGCTCCCACGTGGCGTGACACCCTCCACTGCGTGTCACCCCTGTGCGCACACCCAGCCTTGGCCAGCCTCGGGGGAGGCTGGATGGGGACCATCTCTCTGTGCTGTACCCACCATTCACACCCTGATTAGAAACTTCCCTCCTGTTTCAACCAGACCGTTAACCGTGGAAGTTACTTGAGCCGGGACTCTCCTAACGAGATGCTCAAGGATGACAAGACTGGAGCAGATACCAGCTCGATGCAGCTTTGCTCGGCACTACTCCTTGATCGGCTCCACGGATGGGGTCTGCTCCATCTCATGCCCCATTCACCTGCCGCAGCGCGAACCTCGCAGCCCACACTCTCCATCTCGTCTTGACTTGTGCAGTTGGCTTACACCTGGGCAAGGCACAGACAGAGCTGGAAGAGCAAGCCGAGGCTGATTTAATAGCTAATTAGCAAATTGCACTGAGTTAAGTGGGGGTGGGAGGTCTCCCCAGGCCTCAGCTGCTCTGCGGTAAGTGCTCACCTGCCTGCAATTACTCTGTGGCAAGAAAAACCTGGGGCAAAATAAGCCCAACCCCCTTAATTCCCCTTAATGAGATCCTTGCCCCGGACCCAGCTGTTGCAGCAATGCCCCTCCCCAGAGGCTGGGCCAGAGAGGAGCCACCTGCTCTGCTGCTGCCCCCAAAATGGTACCTTAGATACTAACTGGCTCAGAGAGGCAGGAGCTGTCTTAAGGGGCAGCTTGTTTCAGGAGCTGCAATTTGGACCACACCTCATCTGCCACCCAGTAACCCCCCTGCCCCAGTCCCAGCCCCCTTCCCTCTCTGCTGCCTTCTCCCCTTCTTCCCAGGGTCAGCCACGAAGGAGCCAGGCCGTGCCTATTTCTCCCTGCCAGGATGGTGAAGCAGCCAGCTGTGCTTCAGGCACACTTGCTGTGCAGGGAGGATTAGTGGGACCAACAGGCCAGAGCAAACGTGTGGTTTCCAGGAAGGCTGCGGGAGTCTGCTTCACGGGAGCAAAGATCAGCTCCCCGCGCGCATGAGGCGGTAGCTGCGACTGGAAGCATCAGAGTAATAACGAGCTTCGACAAGGACAAGGGCAAAGTCCTGCACAGAGGAGGGAACAATCCCCTGCACCGGGGCAGGCTGGGGCTGACAGGCCGGGCAGCAGCTCTGCAGAAAAGGACCTGGGGGGACAGGGGACAAGAAGATGGATATGAGCCAGCGGTGTGCCCTTGGTGCCAAGAAGGTGAACAGCATCCTGGGCTGCATTGGCAGGAGCATTGCAGCAGGTCAAGGGCAGTGATCCTTCCCCTCTATTCAGCACTGGGGAGGCCACATCTGGAGTCCTGTGTCCAGCTGTGACCACCCCCACTGCAGCAAGGATGTGGACAAGTTGGAGAGAGTCCAGTGGAGGGCAACAAAAATGGTTGTGGGGCTGGGGGACAGGACTGGTGAGGAGAGACGGAGGGAAATGGGCTGATTTAGTCTGCAGAAGGGAAGACCGAGGGGGATTGAATAGCAGCCTTCACCTCCCTGCAGGGGGGCTGCACAGAGGATGGAGTTGGGCTGTTCTCAGTGGGGGCAGACGACAGGACAAGGAGCAATGGGCTCAAGCTGCAGCAAGGCAAGTCGAGGTTGGATATTAGGACAATCTTTCTCACGAGGAGGGTGGTGAAGCACTGGGACAAGCTCCCCAGAGAGGTGGTGGACTCTCCATCCTTGGAGGTGTTTAAGACCCGGGTAGACAAAGCCGTGTCTGGGATGGTGTAGTTGGGGCTGGTCCTGCTTGGAGCAGGGGGTCGGACTAGATGTGACCTCCTGAGGTCCCTTCAACCTGAATTTTCTATGACTCTATGAATATTTTAGGCCAATGATTCTCAGCCAGGTGCCACAGCACTGCAGGGTACTGCAAGATCCTTTTAAGGGTGCTTCAGGGTGCCATGCAATGCAATTGCACACTCAACAGTGTTTATAACCCCTACACACCGTTCACCAGACAAACCCTGTGATTGCAGATAGAAACCCATCCTACCAAAACCCAGCAAACCCAGGATAGGGCAGAAAGTGTGCTTTGGAACAGGTGACTTGCTCTGCTACTTTTCTGTAGTCCAAACAGGAGTGAAAACTGAAAGCTGGCCGAGTCTATAGAGGGGCGTCTCCAGTGTACGGAGGTTGCAAAGCGCTGCTCCAGGTGCTCCTTTCTATCCGACACTATCAAGCTCCCCATTTTAACTGCAGGCAGCATGTTGGCTATTTGCACCTTGTTCTAAGCCCCCAAGATGCACGGTGCAGTTATAGCTGCAGCAGCAATGGGAGGGATTCACTTCCCGGCGTCCTCGGTCCCAGATCTGCAGCGAATTCTAGTCGCTCTGCTCTGACAACGGGTTCCTGGGGCTGGAAATCCCCCCTGGGCAGAGCCCATCGGTGCAGACAAGGTGGTTTTTGTTTGAGAGGCCGAGAAATGACAGGCAGGGGCTGGAGAACAAGCAGGCTCTTGTGCTTGGGGAAGGACAGAGGAGCAAAGCAGCCATGCGGGGACGTGCAAATGGGCAGATCCTGCCTCTGGCAGCCCCGAGGCTGGAGAGCGGCATAGGAGCAGCAGCTAGCATGGGTTGAGCGAGGAGGGGAGGGATAGCCAGCACAGCCCATGTCATGGGGGTGACTCCCTGCACCCTGCCAAGAAGGGGGCAGGGTGTTGGGAAAGAGGGAGAGAGCTGGGTGCCACCAGCCTGCTGTCCCATGCACACAAGGACTGCATGGAGTGCCAGCAGAAGTGTGATGCTGCCTCTTCCAGGTGGGCAGGCTCCAGCAGGACGCCCCGACAGGGCAGTGTGGCACAGCACGGCCTAGGTGAGGCCTAGCTCCCCATCTTCTTGCTCCAGGGCTGACCTGGCTCCAGCCCCAGGGTGCTAGGACAAGGCTGGACTTGGCCACCCCCAGCCCATGACTCTATCCCTGCCACTGCAGCCATCAGAGAGCATGCCCCAGGCTCAGCCAACCTGTGTTGCTTTAGCTCCAGATGCACCCTAAGCTGCAGGGCTGATCCCAGCTGATCTCATCTGCACAGCGGAGGAAACTGAGGCAGGGAATGCGAGGAGCAAGGCCAGAGACAGAGGTTGGGCTCTCTGCAAAGTGTGGGCTGGAAACCTGCAGGAAGGGATAAGGGGTGGCACACGCCCATTGCTGCAGACAGCTGCTGTGCAACATTGAGGCCTCAAGCCTTGGGCTGGGTGTCTGGGCAGGCTGCATTTAAAGGGATGGGAGCTGCATGTCCCCAGCCCCCTGCCTTGTCCAGCGGGTTTCCTCCGGGCAGCACCTGCCTGGCTCTGGACACGCTTGAGGGAGGGCGCTTGCGGGGGCCAAATTCTCCATGTGCTGGTCCCAACCTCAGCAGATCCGGCTTCGGGCACCAAAGTGTAGGCCAAGTCCTACCAAGAATCAGCAATGGTTTGGCAAGGTGGTGGTTGCAGCCGCGTTGCAATGCATCCCCGGCTCCCAGGACTGATCTCATGGTTTGCAGCACAGCGTCTTTGGGCGAGATATGAACCGTGCTGGGAGCACGGGCTGACATCAGTTCCCCCCAACCCCATCTGCAAATGCCCCAAGTCATGGGCAATAGGGCGAGGACCCTCTCCCAGACCCCACAGGAAGCGCTACCGCTGTGCAGCAAAGCCCACAGGAGGGAGGGAGGGTGCTCCTGCCCCACGGCCTGAGCAATGCACAGGCTTGGAAGCCCCTCAGCCAGGGATGGGAACTGGAGGTCCCCCAGCCTGGGGGATGCCGTGACACCCCGCTGTGCATCCATGGGAGGAAAGGATGCAGGGGGCTGTGCATCCCAGGTGGGGCCTGAGCCTGCCTGCAGCCCGCAGCCAGGCAGGTAGTGCTGCTGGAAGGGAGCAGGTGCAACTGCCCCAGCATTTCCTGTCGCTAGCTCAGCACGCTGGCTGGGGGCAAGGTGGTTTCCTGCTCAGCCCACCATGGTTTTGGGTTCCTTCTGACAGCTCACGCTCTCCACGTCACCCACCTCAGCTCAGGGAAGGAGCCTGGGCACCTGGCCCTTTGCTCAGAGGTCCGGATATCGCTTAGGCCTGCCTCCGCTCTCCGTCAAAGACAGGATCCAGCTCCCAGTAACACACCTTCTCCAGCCCACAGCAGGCAGGGAACAGTGTGCAGCCTCTCATAGCACCACGAGCCCCGTGCTGCACTCTGGGAGATGCGTGCATGCACTGCAGGGGCCACGTGTTTGTGCCTCTGCAGGACGCACACAAGCAGGGACCACGGGCGGCATCCTTGCTGCTCTGTGCTGTAGAGGACACGGACCGGCTCCTCTACTGCCTGTCGTCCACGGCCAGCTCCTGGCATACATTACAGCAGCCTGGGGGCTGCTTGGACTCGTGCTCTGCTTTCTCGGACTCGCTGTGGCTGGTTTTTTCAACTCCCTCAGAGGCACCGGGTCTCAGGATTGTGACTGGGTTGTGCCAATGCTCCTGGTGGGACGCAACCCCGGAGGGTCTGGGCTGGAGGGCCTTGCGCCTGCACTCGGGTCAGACCGATGCTGCATTTGGGGTCAGGACCCCCCTCCCACCCGAGTCAGACTGGTACAGAGTGGGGGGCGTGCCTCTCCCTGCAGCAGGGGCACAGCCTCTGCCTGGGGGCTCCTGAGCCCGTATTAACACCCTTTACAGCGGCAGGATGTTGGCTGCGGTGGTCCTCCTGCTTTACCTGTGGCAGGTCCAGGTGTGACGTCTGGTGCCGACTGTGTAGCATTGCCAGCAGGTGAGATGATGGATTTGCCTGGGATGATTTGGACAGGGCTGACCCTTCCTGCGGCCCGGTTGGACTAGCCGTGACCTCGGGAGCTCCTCTGTGATCCGGGGACATGGAGCAGACCAGCCCCCTTCTTGCTGTTCCCTGCTCCCGCGGCCGGTTTCCGTGCTGCAGCTGCCTCTGCTCGTCAGGACCCAGAAGGTCACGGGCGTTTAGAGCATGAAGTCCCCCGCCGCGCTGCACACGGCCTCCCGGCGAGGCAGAGACACGGGCCGCGGCCAAAACCCCCCGAGGACGGCAGCCAGCGAGTTCCCGGTTGATTCACTGTCGGCGCTGCTGTGAGTTTGCACACTCGAGCCCTCGCTCTTCAGCTGCCTGGGGCGGCTCTGGGAACGGTTGTCTCGGCAAGGGGCCAGCTCTCCTCCCACATCTGTCTGGGCCCAACTTGGCTTGGATGTGTGGCAACGTGTCCTGGCCGTCCCAGGCTGGCACCTCGAGTTGCTTTCCACTGTCAGAGGCCTGAGCATAGACCCTCAGTCTCACAGTTCCCTCTCATCTCCAGCCTGTTTCCCCTGCTGCAGCTTGAAGCCATTGCTCCTCATCCTGTCCCCTACAGCCACAGAGAAAAGTCCATCTCTGTCCTCGCCCTTCAGTGCAGACTCATCAAATCCCCCTCAGTCTTCTCCCCGCCAGGCTAAATAACTCGAGCTCTCCCAGCCTGTCCTCATTACTCTGGCTTCCCAGGCCCCAATCGCTGGTGCTCTGAGCAGGACTATCTCCAGTCTGTCCACGTCCTCCTTGAAGTGCAGGGCCCAAAACCAGACCAGGTTCTTTGGGTAAATGCGATATCTTTTATTAGATCAACTAAGTAATTGGAAAAATGGCTCTTTGCAAGCTTTGGGGTACAAACGCCCTTTTTTCCTTTTGTGCCCCAAAGCTTGCAAACAATTTTTCCAACTATTTTAGTTGGTCTAATAAAAGATACCGTATTTACCCAAAGAACCTTGTCTGCCTGTGTCCTTAGTGGCTACAACCAACAGCCCTGGGCCCAAACCAGACTCCAGGGGAGGTCTCATCGGTGCTGAACCTGGTGGAAGAATCACTTCTCTTGACTTGCAAGAGCACACTGTTGGCTCATATCCAGTCTATGGTGCGCTGTCACCCCCAGTTGCAGCTACCACAGAAAAAAAGCCTCTACCCTCCAAAAGAGGAGCAGGAAGGTGGCGGCGGCGAGCTCTCTGGCTCCGTGTGCTGCACTGAAAGGGGAGAGGCGTGTGCAGCACAGGCAGCCCGTGGTAGCTCGCTCCGGTCATGAGAGCAGCACGGGTGCAACAACAAAGGTTGCAGCGAGAATCCCACCGAGGGGCCTGGCATGTGCCCAGGTCACTGGCCAGGAGAAGCCCCGTCTGCCCTGCTGCGGCCACAGGTGCTTTGCAGAGAGAAGCCAGCACAGGTGAACCTGCCCGCATTACGATGGCCCCTCCAACAGCCTAAGAGACAGACACCCCCGGCACGTACAGCAGAGATATCTGGCCTCAGCATGCATGGATGTACACAGCATGCAGGTGTGTGTGTGGGGTGTCTCGGGCTGAGTTTTGAGGAGGTACAAAGCCGTGCCTGGAGAAGAGCATCCAAGAGCCGTGCTAGCAAGGACAGGCATGAACGGCGGAGGCTGCGTCAAGGCGGCACAGAGGCGGCATGCGTAGGGTCCCCCCGTGGATCAGGCAAAGCCGGTCACAGGCTGCGTTGGGGGTGGAAGTGAGAGACCAGGGGCATCTTGGCAGGAGAGGCGATGCAACGGGGGAGGTGAGACAGGAGAGCTGCTTGTTTCCGTCTGTTCCCGCAGACTGTCTCAGACAGAGACGGATGCGTGTCGGGAGCTCCGCGGGGCGACATCCCCCTGTGCCCTGCAGCCCCAGGAGGTCCCTACATCTGCAGCATGGCTAGCGGTCCCCGCCCAGGCGAACGCTGAACCTAAAGCCGCCTTCGCAGCCCAGCTGCGGCGCGCAGACTCGCCTCAGCCCATTTCATCAGCTTGTGCGTGGCTTCCCGAGTGGCACGGAGAGACGGCGAGCAGCGATCCAAGGCAGGGATCCCACGCAGCCAGACGCAGCATGCGATGTGGCCGGCCAACACCGGACCTCCCGGCTGCAAGACAAAGGCACAGCCGAGAACGGGAACCTGGCTCCATCTGATCGGCTCCCCACTCCCGTGCCTTACAGCTCTTCTGCAAATACACCTTGCTTCCCCCCATGCCATCCACATCCCACACGCCTCTCGCTGCCCCCCGCCTCTCTTCCTATATCCCTGCCCCGTCTACTCCATGCAGGGCACTGCCAGAGCTTTCAATGACAGGATCAGCAAGGACTGAAGACACCCCCCTTCCCTGCCCGCTGCTGCAGGACCCTTCGAGCCTGAATTCACCGATGCTCTTAGGAGCCCTAAGGTGGTCTTTGCCCTGCTTACCCCAGCAGCCCCCTGTACACGACGTGCCAGGGCTGCATTGGAGACAGGCTGGACCGTGCCCTCCTCCAAAACTGGGCTCTGAGCCTACAAACCCTGCGGCAGTGGGAAACTGTCTGCAAGTTTTCAGTGCACTTAGTCACAGACCAGCCATTGAGGCACCGAATGTCTGGACTCGGTCTGGCCCTTGGAGTCTGTCTCAATGGCCTAAAGGGAGGATGCAAGGTCTGGGCAGCCTCCGCTCCTCCATACTCCTGCCTAGGTGCACGCATCGAAGGCCCTGGTGATCTCTCATGCATACACCGTGATCCAGAAGGATCCACAGTTGCTTACTAGTCACAGACCTGTTTCTCATGGGATGCCCATCCAGTTTTTTGCACGATTGACCTCAAAGGTCTATTTTTCAGGGGGAGGGAAAAAATGGAGAAGTTCCCACCCTCCTCCCAGGAAAAGGCGAGCACACTCAATCAAGCATAAAGCTCCCACACCTTGGATTCCTGTCTGGGGTTTGCAAACACTTCTCACTTCTGCCACCTCTGCTGAAAGGCAGCCGTGTCTGCCAGAGTCAAAGCCAAGGTTTGACCCTAAATCCAATGCATCTCCCAGCACAGACGCATGGACACTCATGCCCATGTGTTACAGGTTGCCCCTGCCACCACAACAGGACAAAAGACCAGATCCCTCTCTCACACCAATGGCCAAAATCAGAGTCCACTTTTCAGTCCTGGCCAGAAGGAGACGGGGCGAGAGTCCCCCGGCGTTGCAGGTCAGTCTACCGAGCCACTGAACACTTCTGGATCCGTCGCCCCGCTGGGACCCTGTGGCTTGCGCCGCTTCACTCCTAGGCTGGTCCTGGCTTGGAAGAGGAGTGACAGGATCAGGACACCCGAATATGAAGTGTCCACGAACCAAATCCAGCTGGAAATGAGACAGTTCCTCGTTTCCTACTGCCAGAGGAGTGCTGCTCTGGGACAGCCCGTCAGCAGCAGGAGCAGGGCAAACTGCTCGCTTTGTTTTAGGATGAACCTGATGATATGACTGGAGGACCCCGGCCGTCCTTTGATTCCCAGTGTGGGTTTGAGCACGCAGCTCCTCTTCTCTTGGCCTGGATGCAGTGGCCTAGGAAGGGCTTCCAGCCCTAGATTAAGGGACCCCACAATGGTTTGGAAAGGGCCAGCGACGGCCCCACGGAGATGCCTACACCCGGGGAGCTCCAAAGCAGGTGTGGCGGTGGAGGTGGCTCTGCCACCCGTCGCACAGGACAGGAGGGGGTTGATCTGGGGCCAGACACAGGGCCAGGAAAGAGCAAGATATGAAGCTGTATTGCTGTGCTCTGCTGCTCGTGAACCGTGTCCCCATTGCCCACCCTGGGGGTGTCACAGTCCCCCCAGCTGGTGCCATCACCTTCTCTCAGTTCAGATGAAGTAAATGTTGGAGCCAGCCCGGAGCGCACTGCTGGAAACCCTGCTGCTAATTCATCACAGCCTCTTGCTGGGACGAGGTGGCAATGACAAGAGGCCTTAGCATTAGCAGCAGCATCCAACTCAGAGCAAGGGCTCCGACACCCGGCAGCGGGGTGCCGACAGCGCCTGGTGTGCTGGAGCAAGCACGAGAGGCCTGGAGTGATTCATTGCACTCATGTAACGCAGCAGCAGCCCCATGCACAGCGACAAGATGACCCCTTGCCCAGGGCAGGCTGCTCCCAGGCTGGCAGCAGCAGCGAGGCTCCAGCTGCTGCCTCCGCTGCAGGAACAGATGTGGTGGCGGGAGCAAAACCAGCCTGCGCCGGGGGTGGGAATGCATCCTGCCCTGTAATCCTGGAAGCTGGGGCAGCTGGATGGGCCATGTGTGCCCTGGACAGGAGTCTTGGTCCTGGCCCCAGAGGATTCACCAGCAGCCCTGCCTTCCTGTGAGACACCCTCCTCGAGCACGGCAGGGAGGAGGAGATGGGCCCCTGTAGCAGCTTGTGCTATCCGGCTGTTTCGGAGGTAGCCCCGCCCCATCTGAAATGCAGGGGGAAACCACCCACATCCAGCTCCACGACTCTCGGCTGCAAGTTGGGGGCAGCCGCTGCAGCTGAGCATGGCGCTGCTTGGTGCTCGCCCCCATCATAGGATCACAGCGGAGTCGGGCTGGAAGGGACCTTGCAACGTCGTCTAGTCCAGCTCCTGTTCAAGGCAGGAGCATCCCTAACTAACCCATCCCAGCCGTGTGCCTGTTCAACCTGGCCCTGGACACTTCCAAGGATGGAGATCTAGGCAGGCTGTTCCAGTGCTTGACCCTCGTAGCCACAAAACTCCTCATCTCCCGCCTCGATCTCTTCTGCTGCAGCTCAAGGCCCGTTGCTCCTAGTCCGGTCTCCTGCAGCCACAGAAAAAAGCCTGGTCTCCATCTTCTCTGTAAATACCATTTAGGGGTTTGCAGACCGTGATCAAATCCTGCCTCAGCCTCCTCTTCTTCCAGCATCTTCTCACCAGTCGGATGTGGACCCCGTTGCAGGGATCTCCCCTGCAGTCCTTCGTGGGAAGCACCTCCGGGGTGAGATGCAGCACAGATCTCAGTGGAAAGTCACCTGGTCTGCTCTGAAAGGCTGGGCTAGATCGCCACCGGCCCTCTGCTCCTTCACATTCAGTTGAGAGCGGCGGGGGTTTGCGGCCTTGCACCTGCCTCTGAACTGCTGATCTCGAAGCTTCCCCATCTCTCGAGGTCGGGGCAGCAGGCATCACACTCACCGGCATTGCTGCAGCATCAGTGGGGAAGTGGAGAAGTTGCCCATGCAAGCAAAAGTCTCCATTTCTGCCCCCAGCAAGTCTCCCTTCCAGCTAAGGCTGGGGTGGGGTCCAGGGGGTGGTTGGTATAATCTGGACTGGCCATTACTGCTTCGCTTCCTTGATA